TTATGCTTTCGCGTTTGGTGGAAAGTGGAGCATTCGGCATGCCCGATTAATCAAACTCCTTGTCCACGCGGATAGTCAAAATCTTTTATATTTGAAGTCCGAATCGGCTACTGAAATTGTAACTTAGTCCTAGAGCACCTCTGCTCTTATCATCTAGCCACGGCGTCCTTTCCAAGCCATCCCTTATAAACGCCTTTCTTTTTGGGTTAAGTCTAATCAGTTTTATTTACCATGGCTGAATGATGTCTATTTCTTTTTGCAGAAAAGCCGCCAAATTTTCATTGGGAACGTTCACTTCCTCCCGCCTGAGTAATCCCCGCCAAATTTTAGTGCACGACCGAACAGGCTGTCACGCTGACCATGCTGATGACGGGCTTCAGCGTCACACGACTGCTGCTATTGGACTCCTGAAAGCTATTTTTCCTCCTCCATCCACCTCCGCCGCAGCCACCACCACCACTGCAAATTCTTCCTGTCCATCTGATGTAAACTCCTCCTCCTCTTCTTCACCCTACTCGCTCGATTCTTTGTCAGGACGTATTGTAAAAGACGTGGTTGTCTTTGATCCACGCCACTACTGGGATCTTGTTGAGCGCCTCAACTTGGACATCATGGAACCACCAGCCAGTCAGGTACACCACTTCAGGCCTCTCGCGAATTTATTTGTTTATTTTACCTACGGTCCGTTGAAAGTAACTCTAGGGTAGTCAGGAGATACAGAATTGTAAATGCCGTAATATTATATTACAAAACTGTTGTCGAGCAAAACTTCCCTCTGCTGTTATGCGATGGCGACCTCCACTTTGACACCTCATATTTTGTGGAATTTGCTTGTCATTTTCTCACGCATCTGCGTGTTAAATGACCGTTCGATGAAGTGCGCGCAAGTTGGAATACCCAAAGCATATGCCAGCTACTGTGACGAAAATGGGTGGAACTCGCATATACCGAGTCAATAAGTGCTCATTCCCGTCGAAGCAGACTGTCACTGACTAACATAATTCTACTAAAGTGCAAACAATTGAAGGCATACCAGCTTTTTGTCATCTTTCAATAAGTCTGTATCTGCTATACGTATTTCAAATGAATCATTTTATTCAGGAAATTGTCTACAAGGAGAAGGGAGAATGAAATGACCACTCTGTAGGCTTACTTGTTGTGTGCAGCCTAGCTAGGCCGTCAAATAACATTGCCCCGTGGCGGACTAACCTCTGTCGTCACCAGCAGGTCGTGTGCTTATGGCTCGCTGTTAGATAATTTGACTTCAGCCCTGCTGATACGGCCTTATCTGCCGAGTCTTCATGGTCTACCGATGGTATATTGACCTGAAATGGTTATCCCGACTTGCCCTTATTTTGGCAGTAATTCTTGAGGTCACTATGCATCCCCCCCCCTACAAGTACCCTAGCACAACAAATAGTCATGGTTCGCTCTGCAAACAAGCCAGTTGAATGTCATCTTGATTTTAAGCGCATTATTGTGATTGAACTCTTGCTTGAAAGCCTGAAGAACAGTGCATGGGCGCAAAGCTGTTGAATAAAACGTTTTTTTCCCATTCCAGTGTATCAATTATTTTTTAAAATTTTATCCTGAAGGGTGGAGTATCA